GATGGCGGTTGCAAAACCGCTGCTCTCCGCGGGGGCCCTTATGAGCAAGGGCTGGTCCATTCAGATGCACGGATCTGGTGGACATATCTCCCGAGACGGGACTAAGATCCCGATCTCGTTCAGCAACGGCGTCTGTTCTGTGCCGCTTGCATTCCACCCTTTCGTCCGGCACCGCAATGGGTAAGTCCGGTAGTGGACGAACAGGCCGAAGAGGCCGAGCCAGGCGACGAAGTGCCGCCTGAGCTCAAAATCAATTCTCCCATTCGCCCGACGCGAAAAGAGTTTGAAGAGCATGCTGTTTCACACTTTCCTTTTAGGTCTTGGTGTGAGGCCTGTGTAAGGGGAAAAGCTAAGGCAAACCCCCACAGGAAGATAGACCACACCGATGAGACAACACCAGTTGTAACTGTAGATTACTGTTTCATGAACTCACGAACTGATGATGTAGTTTTGGATGAGAAGACTCATGCACCAATTCTTGTTGTCAGAGACCGATGGACGAAGCATCTTTTTGCTCATGTGTTGCCCTACAAAGGTGTGACAAAAGGTCCTTATGGGTCCAAAGTACTTTTGAATGACATCAAGAAACTCGGATACTCCAAACTGATCATTCGACATGATCCTGAACCTGCTCTCACATCCGTTGTTGAGGCAGTAAAGAATGGGTTTGAAGGAACCCTGATCATCGAGAAGAGCCCGAAAGGAGTCAAAGAATCCAAGGGAGAGATTGAACGAGCAGTTCAAACCTTGGAAGGACAAGCCAGGACTCTTCGAGCCGCAATCGAGTCGAACTATGGTGAGAAACTTCCTGACGATTCACCTGTTTTGACTTGGTTAGTTGAACACGCATCCACAGTCTACAATCTGTTTTTCCGATCTACCGAACTTCAAGACGGAAAGACTCCGTATTCACGACTTCGTGGACGTGAATGGAAAGTAGCAATTCCACCATTTGGTGAGGCCATCGAATACCTCAAGAGAGGCCACAAGTTCGAGGCCCAATGGACCAAAGGAATTTTTCTAGGAGTGAAAGACACCACCACAGAGAAGATAGTAGGAAATTCCACAGGCGTTTTCACAGTGCAATCCATTCGGAGAAAGCCAGAAGAAGATCGATATGATTCAGAGTTGCTGAAATCGATCACTGGAATTCCCTGGGATCCTCAAGCAATTCGCGAAGAACCAGCGATTGCAGCCCCAAGGGAACCAGTCATTGCCAGTCCAAGTGGTGAAGCTTTAGTTCAACCACCGGCAATAGATGACAAGAAAAGAAAGCTGAGAAGACTTTACATTACCAAGAAAGACCTGGAAAAGTTTGGGTATACTGCAGGTTGCCCAGCTTGTGATGCCACACAGATTGGCAAGAGATCTACAGGCATCCATCACACCAACAGGTGTCGAGACAGACTTGAAGAGAGCATCAGAGGAGAAGAAGAAGAGAACCCAAGAGTGGCAAGACATGAAAGCCGAGTTGGAGAGGCAATCACTGGCATGCCACAACCAGTCAGTGGCAAGAGACCTCAAATCCTTCATGGATATGAAAGCAAAAGACCATCGGGAGTTCCCGATTCGTGTCGAGTGTTCGCACGACTTGACGTCGAAGCTTACTGTTTTCAAACCACCACGCCAGGAGGACCTGATTGGTCTACCGTCTGGCACCGAGTCACAAGAAACCATGCAAACAACGCAATCATTGAGAGTGGAGTCATGACGACAGACCTTCCACCAGAGATACTCAATGGAGCATTACCACACAAGCTGGACATTGTGACAGAACTTTGGTACGAACCAGAAGCAGCACCACCAACACCAGGCACAGCATCAGCTTCAGCATCAGGTATTCGCAGACCACGCGAACCTGAACCACATGGAGAAAAGAGAGAACACGAAGAACAACATGAACCAGCAGGATCACCTACAGCAAAAGCCAGAGTAGATAGAGACAAGAAGAGAAAGGCAGAAAGCGAACATGAAGATGAAGCCGAGAGAACAAGAGACATCCAGAGCATCGAGATGGCTCTAGAAAGCCTAATCCTAGAAGACAGAGAGAGAGTGCTATCTAGCATCGACCCAGAGAAACCAGTGTGTGAAGAGAAGATCCCACTGCCAGAAGAAATGGCAGAAGAGGCAAAAGACTGGTGGTACTATGATGACATCAGTGGAAAAGAGCTTCTACCTGAGAAGGTAGAGAAAGCCAGAAAAGATGAGATCGACATTGTCGAATCAATGGGAGTTTGGGAAAAGATCCCAAGAAGCAAAGTTCCAAAAGGAACCAAAATCATTGGAACTCGATGGGTAGATGTGAACAAGCAAGATGAAACCAATCCTCTCTACAGAAGTCGATTGGTAGCGCAAGAGATCAAAAGAGGCTCAGGTTTTGACGAATTTTTCGCAGCTATGCCGAGCCTAGCAGCTTTGAAGCTACTGCTAACCATCGCAGTCAGTGACAGCCTTCCATTGGAGAAAGGCGAGAGAAGAAAATCAAAACAATCTTTTCTAGGATTTTTGGACGTGAAGAGAGCTCATTTCTACTCCAAAGCAACAAGAGAACTCTATGTTGAAATTCCATCAGAAGGCAAGAGACCTGAAGATGGAGATGTAGTAGGAAAGTTGGTCAGAAGCCTTTACGGCACCAGAGACGCACCTATGAATTGGGAGCTGACCATTGCAGAGTTTATGAAAAAGCTAGGATTTGTTCAAGGCAAGTCCAACCCATGCATCTACTACCATGCATCCAGAGAACTTCGAACAGAGGTGCATGGAGACGATTTCACGACAGTTGGAAGTTTTGATGACATCAAATGGTTTCACACTTCAGCAGCCAAAGAATGGCAAGTTGTGGAACGAGGCATTCTCGGTCCACCAGGTTCACCAAAGGCAAGCCAACAGATCAGAGTGCTGAATCGCATCATCACCTGGTCAAATGAAGGCATTTGGTGGGAACCAGATCCAAGACATGCAGAGTTGATCATTAAGTGGTTAGGCACTGGTCAACCAGGCAAGGTCAAAACACCTTTGGCCAAGCCAAGTCAAGAGGAACTCCAACATGAAGAAGTTCCGCTGAGTGCCGAAGATGCAACGATGTATAGGTCTATTGCTATGAGAGCCGCGTATTTGGCACAGGATCGACCTGATCTGCAAACTGCAACGCGCTCATTGGCACAAGGTCTACAGAACCCAACATCGAGGCACTGGAATATGCTGAAACGATTGGCTCGATATGTCAGGTATCGACCAAGAGTTGCACAGTTGTTTCCAAACCAAAGCACCTGCAACCCCTTCAACATGTGGTCAGACGCCGACCATGCAGGTTGCATAAGGACACGAAAGAGTGTGTCAGGAGGCGTGCTCATGGCCAACAAATGCTGTCTCACAACATACAGCAAAGGCCAAGGAGTTGTCTCCCTGAGCAGTGGCGAATCCGAGTACTACGGACTTGTTTCTGGAGCATGTCAAATGCTTGGAATCGCATCAACAGCAAGAGACTGGGGATTGTTTCCCAGCAAAGAGGTGACAATGGACGCTTCCGCTGGCATCGCCATGGGAAACCGTCGAGGCTTGGGACGAGCTAAACATGTTGACACTCAGTACCACTGGGTACAAGAGCGTACAGCAAAGAAAGAGTTTCGTCTCAAGAAAGAAGGCACCGACCGAATGTTGGCCGACGTGCTAACGAAAGCTGTCACCGAAGAGAAAATGACTACAGCTATGAAAGGCATGAACTTCCACTACCTGGAAGGTGAGCATGAACTGACTTTGAAAGCGTGAACGGCTTGAGCTAGAGTAGGTACTTCTACAAGACCAAGATGTACTGAAGGGCTATGGGCTAATTCACTAAAAGTGCTAATCCTGACTCGGTTAACATCTCCCAGAAGTTAAACTCGGGAGGCGTGATCAGATGTAGCACCAGTTACATGTACATGATATAGCTTGTATAGATGTATGTTTCACTGCAGCCGTTTGTGGTTTACTTTTGTGTTCATTTCGATACCAGAGCTCAGTCAAGCGTGAGCTAAAAGTGTGCCTAAGCTTCTACTACAACCTTTGGGACAGTGACTTGGGGTCACAGAGTTTAAGAGCCTAAATTCTCCGTTCACTACTAGCTTCTTGTGACTACTAGTAAGGCACTTGTGACTACTAGCTTCTTGTTACTACTAGGAGCAAGGAGGCTACCTCAGGCCATTCGAGTTTGTGTTTGGAGGTGGCTCCTGGAAGAGCAAGAGCGAGTCGGGGAGCACCTTGGTCGATTTCGTGTTTCTTTGGCCTCCAACCGCCATGGCGACCCTTTTTACTTGTCCGTAGCGAAGAAAATAGCAAGCACATGGTCTCTCCAATAGGAGCCTTTAGGTTTCTCTCGAACATTGGAATCAGAGCTTGGCAAGCCACCTTTGTTGCAAAAGACACACTACTTTGCCACATTAAGCTCCGTGTCTAGTAGCCTCTTGTTCCTAGTAGCTTCTTGTTCCTAGTAGTACGGACAGGAGCCTCTAGTAGCGTCCTTGCTCCTAGTAGCGATGCCAGGAGCCCCTAGTAGCTTCTTGTTAGTGATTGATTTGGTCCGCTTCTGATTTGATGACTTGTTTGGCAACCTCATCAGCAATGCTATTCCACTGAATGTCCTGCTTGCCACTGCCATGTGATGCAGCAAGTTCTTCAGAAATATCATCAAAGACGCCCTTACTATCGTGTTTTCCTTGCTACTTAGGTCCCGCCAAAAGGTCTTAAGTCTTAAAGCTCTTCTTTTTCTGTACAATTAGGTTGGAGGCCATTGCTTTTAGCTAGCAGAAACAATATGCTACTAGTAACAAGTGCCTTACTAGTAGTAACAAGAAGCTAGTAGAAACAAGGCCATTGCTTTAGGGGGAGGTCGGCAAAGAAAAGTCTTCATGCTTCGTGTCGTTCCTCAAGCGGAAGGGATCCGTGCGAAACACTGCGAAAACGGCAAAAGCCACAGAAATCGGGAAAACCGAGAAAGCTACTAGGAACAAGTGCATCGCTTCTAGTAACAAGTGCCTTACTACTAGTAACAAGAAGCTACTAGGGGTTCCTGGCCTTACTACTAGGAGCAAAGGACGCTGCTAGGGGCTCCTGGCATCGCTACTAGGAACAAGGGAGCAAGTAGGCTACATGTCACACACGAGCGGGCCCCGCAACTCAGAAGAAGCATTCAAACGCAGATCAGGCCTAGTGGTAAAGACGAGAATCCCCTAATGCAACCAAGGGCTGCGCTCCTAGTTAATCTAATGATAGCTTTGGTGTTCAAGGTTCAACAGAGCTTTCTAGAATGTACAGTGGCGAACACATACTTAGAACCTACTCATTTGCCCAAATGGATGGGACCACACGCTTTGAAGAAAGAGGGGAGGTCATACTTAGAATTAATAAAGCCTTCATGCAATAGACAGGTTCCTAAGTATTTGTCCGTTACTTCAGTACAAACACAGTGACAATGATCAAGTATCCGACAACTGATTGAGCAAAAGACTCGAGTTTGATTTTTCAACGAAGGAATAGAAAAAATAGCTTACTCGGACGCTACTAGGGGCTTCTGGCCTTACTACTAGGAGCAAGAAGCTACTAGGAACAAAGGGCATCGCTACTAGGAGCGATCGGACGCTACTAGGGGCTCCTGTCTCCTTTTGCTCTAAGTAGGCCTTTGTGGTTCCATGTGTAAACGCTCAGAACCAAATTCCCCATAAACATGTTCTCGTATGTTTTTATACGTATACACCCTAATAGGGAAGGCCCAATGGCCTTCACCCTAGGGGCGCACCGAGCTTCGCTTGGGAATTTAGGAATATTCCCAGCAGACGATCCTTTGGGGTTTGCGCATGCGAAAGCAGAATGTGACAACGCAAAAACGCGAATACCGAGTATAGAACCCTAGTAGCGTCCTTTGCTCCTAGTAGTAAGGCCAGGAGCCCCTAGTAGCTTCTTGTTACTACTAGTAAGGCACTTGTTACTAGTAGCTTCTTGTTACTACTAGTAAGGCACTTGTTCCTAGTAGCGATGCACTTGTTCCTAGTAGCGAACATTGCTACTAAGCCAAGAATCGCTGGGTCCTGGTTTTCGCGCGAATCCGAGTTCGCTCAAATCGACATGTACCACGACGCCCGCGGACGCTCCTGCCCCGAACGACAGAGGCGACAGACGTGGAGTCTTTCCGGTGGGGACGGGCTTCAAAACGTGTATTTTGAGGCATGTTTGCAAATGGCTCATGGGCTACACAAAGGTTGCGTTCTAGGGCTTGTCCCTTCCAGGGGCATCGAACCGAGTATAGAACCCAGTTTCTAGCTTAGTTTCAGGCAAAAATAAGAGCAAGCGTCTCTAAAGAACTAGGAACCACATGAATAGTGCGAGCGCTCCTTCAAGCAAGCTCCCCTCGCTCTCAGCCAAAAAGAGCTTAGCTACTTAAGTTTAGCGACCAAAATATTTGTCAAAACACCGGAACTACTAGTAGCTTCTTGCTCCTAGTAGCGATGCCCTTTGTTGCTAGTAGCGTCCTTGTTCCTAGTAGTACGGCCAGGAGCCCTAGTAGCATCCTTGCTCCTAGTTAGAACTTGTTTCTTGTGTTCCTTCTTGTTCTCTTTTTCTGTGGACTTGCGTTCGTGAAGACTTACTAAAGAGGACCCAAACACTTTTCTGTCTCTAGAAGTATCCAGAATGTGGGCTTGACTCTGGCTGATGATTCACGGCTTCAGCGACTCCACTTTTGTTTGCGCAGCGTCTTCGAGCACAGATAAGAAACGGATGTTGTTTCCACCTATGGCACAAACCGTTGTTTCTCTCTACTCAAATCCCAAAACATTGATAGACTGAAGAATCTGAAAAACACTGGTCACAGTGAATGCGCTGGCTATTGGATGCGCTGGCTGAAAAATGTCCACAACTTCGCATTTGTCCGAGATAACCTCAGAACTAAAGCAGAGGGAGGCGCCTTTGTTTCTCCGACGAACTAAGGACGGAGGCACCTGAGGAGGAGGAAGATGCGGAGGAAAGACAAGAAGAATCAAGAGAAGGAAAAGTACAAAAAGAAAGGGTTTCCGACGTTTCCGAGAACCTCAAAAAGGGTCCCGGAAATATGTGGACCTCAGAAGAGATTGATGAGACAAAACATGAAGCCGAAGAAAAAGCTTCAAAAGATGTTCATCTGAAGACTTCATCATCTCAAAAGGCCAGTGCTGACCTGTTCATGTTTATTTGCATGTGTATGACAATTTTTGTGCATCATTCTCTCGGTTGTCATTTTGCGTGTGCAGTTTGTGTTGGAGGCCATCGCTAGTAGGTAGGGGGCAGAGTGGCCTTTTGAAAAGTCCTAGTAGCGTCCTTGCTCCTAGTATTAAGGCCAGGAGCCGCTAGTAGCATTCTTGTTACTACCAGTAAGGCACTTGTTACTAGAAGCGATGCACTTGTTCCTAGTAGTAAGGCCCTTGCTACTAGTAGCGATGCCGTTGTTACTAGCGAATGGAATTGTTCTCATCTCGAAGACGTTGGGAGGCGAAGCAATCCCGTGAGATGAGGCAAATGGCAGCGACATTTTGCTCCCGGAGGCAGTGACGTCCAAATGTAAATTGAAAAGAAAGGAACAGAAGCAAAGAGGCTACGTTCGGGCTCCTGACCTTACTAGGAGCAAGGGCCTTACGAACAAAAAAGCCTTTTTGTTCGTAGCGAACATTGCTCCTAGTAAGGTCAGGAGCCCGAACGTAGCCTCTTTGTTGTTCAGATCGGAGTGATGGTAACTTGAGAGACCGGTCCACGGGCTTCGAGGTGTGCCCTTCAGAGTCAAATCCATGCTGCTGATCAACGGGCTTGGAAGGCGGAGTACCAGGAGCTTTCCCAGTAAACAGAATCAGTGTGGCTACCAGCAGCACCGCTCTCCCCCCTCCCTACTTAATTAAGTGGGCATTTGCTTAATTAAGTAAGGAATTGAGGTAGCTACTACCTACAAGTAAGCTACTACCGACTGTGCACATCCAAGTCAAGCACATCACCAAAACCTCCCAATCATGGCAATCTTCAGTTACAGCTATGGTGCAAAAGGATATGAGAAAAATAAGCTGGACTTAAGCCTATAAAGCTTCCTATTTGTTATATTGAAGCCTAAGTGGACACTCGTCTCTTTAATTTATATATGTGTTTAATCTTCTGGTTTTCTAGCAAAAGAAAGATGTGTTCTGGACAGACTGACATAAATCGTTGAAGAACTCTGACAAGCAGAACAGCTGCATCTCTTTGCTTTATTGTGCGGAAGAAGAAAGCAGGTCGTTTAATTGACCATGCTGTGCAAAACAGACAGAGGCGTTTCTTGTGTTCACTGTCATCTACGTTCATGGACTCTTTATGACTAGGACGCTACTAGGGGCTCCTGGCCTTACTACTAGGAGCAAGGACGCTAGTAGTAACAAAGGGCATCGCTACTAGGAGCAAGGGCCTTACTGCTAGTGACAAGAAGCTAAGGCGTTTCTTGTGTTCCCTTTCATCTACGTTCATTCTAAAGGGCAATCCAACATGGACTCTTTCTGGCAAACTCACATCGAATGACACAGTGCCCACAAAATAGCAGGTTTTTTGGAACAATAGGGACCCCTGTTTGAATTTCAAGGTGACAGGTTTGGAGAGGTGAAGGCTTTCTACTATGCACGATCTCGAAACGGAATGAGAAGTTTAATAGTGATGGCCTCCACCTAGTAGCGTCCTTGCTCCAAATAGCTATGCCCTTTGTTCCTAGTAGCTTCTTGCCCCTAGTAGTAAGGCCAGGAGCCCCGAACGTAGCGTCCTTGCTCCTAGTAGCGATGGCCTCCACCCTAATTGTTCCGTGCTTTAATCCAAGGAACATCGGCGGAGCCTCCTAGGGGACAAGTTATCGCATGCACAGCTGCACAGCTGGAGTGCATTTCTATGCAAAACAACAGCGATTACATCAAACTTGTGCAAGTCGCAAGGTTTTCTCAACAGACAAGACGGGCAATGCTCGAAGACAAGACGCCCGACGTTGCAAGAGTCAACGTTTTGAAAGAGTGGTGTGCCGCAACCAGTTCCGCAGTGGACCGCATTGCGACAAAACCGGAAAGAAGAATCGGGCCAAGACATGCGGCTACTAGGGTGGAGGCCATCGCCAGTAGGTTGGAGGCCATCGCAATAGATCGGTGTCAAGATGTCCGGCACACGCTGGAAGGTTTCTTGCACAAAAGCGAGAGACGCACTTGTTACTAGTAGCGATGCCCTTGTTTCTAGTAGCTTCTTGGCAAAGCCGCTGATTTAGCAGCCCCACTTTCGCAGTCCAAGCCGAATGATGCCACTCGGTTTCTTCACTTTCGCGAGGACACCGTCAAGCAAAAGGTTGAAGAAAAGAAAAAAGCTTGGAAAGAGAGGTTGGGACACTTGGGGTGTTGGGCGAGATGCGAAATTGAGATTGCCCGCCCTTGAAATGTCCAATATGTTTTTAGTAGCGTCCTTGCTCCTAGTAGCGATGCCCGGAGCCCCTAGTAGCTTCTTTGCTCCTAGTAGTAAGGCCAGGAGCCCCTAGTAGCGTCCTTGCTACTAGTAGGGATGCCAGGAGCATGAGTTGCCAGATTCGTAGGAGTTCTGCTGTCATCAGCAGTTTTCACAGGAGAAACACTTTGGAAGTGAAGCAGCAGCAACTGCTGGAGCATCACAGAAGGCACGGTAGGAAAAGAGTGAAGATTGCCACTTAGCAACGTGGGTAATCAGACGGTTAGGTTGGAGGCCATCGCTAGTAGGGTGGAGGCCTTTGCTATTAGGTTCATTTTGCTATTAGGAGCAAAGGGCATCGCTACTAGGAGCAAGGACGCTACTAGGGGCTCCTGGCCGTGCTACTAGGAACAAGAAGCTATTAGTAGCTAGAAGCTATTAGGTTGGAGGCCATAGGGGTGATTCAGGCAGGTCGACGATTTGCGGTCGGAGTTGCAAGCGATGATGGAGAAGCGGCGCATGAAGCTAAATCAGGAGAATTTGCCAGTGGCGAAGCCTAAACTGTTCGTTGTTAACCATTTGAGTCTTTTCAGTCTTTCAGATCTGTTAGCGATGGCCTCGAACCTACTAGCGATGGCCTCCAACCTAATAGCTTCTAGCTACTAATAGCTTCTTGTTA